TTGCCACTGTACTGAACATACTGTATGAGCACGTCTAAGTATTCTTGGTAAAAGACAACCTTTTTAAAAAGGTTCCTTTCCTGGTATCAGCTGCTTGTCCTCCTGTGTGGTCTGTGGCACAGGCAAGGAGTGCATCCAGGCTTCTCAAATCTTCTATCTTTCCTTATTTTATGAGTGCCCGTTTGCCCCTCTCCAAACGGGTGTGGTCTGTCCGATGATGTTGAAATGATTTATGCTGCTAGCAAATGGCCAAGGCAAAGCCCCATGGGCTTTGCCTGTGGGGTGCAGTGCCCCTCCCATGGGATTTGGCTTTCTACACGTGAGGGATTTTATTTTTTTGGGCAGACAGTCCTGTATGTGATACCATGTTTCCTTGTCCTGAGTTTGGGCGCAGTGTTGTTCCCCATGATTTTGCAATAAGCAGTCACCTTCATCAGTAGTCATTTAAGATCCTCTTTGTTTTTTGTTTTCCCCTGTCATCTCCATGCATGGGTACACACTCATGTACATGCATTTGTGCAGGTCATGAGGGGTGGTCCCAAGGGAAGGGATATGAGCATCTCCTTTTATCCCTGAAGCCCTATTCAGTGAATCTGGCTTTCTTGCTCCCTTTTCTCTTGCAGTTTGGCAAACCTGGTGACTTTGGAGCTACGTGAGAACCTGCTAAAGACTCTCCCCACGTGAGTGTCTGTCTGGTGGCTTCAGGAGTTTCCTGCCTGATTGTTCTTACTGATTCCTCAGGGACTTGCTGTTTCTGTAGTACAGGTTCTAGCACTTTGCTTGGGAGGGCTCAAGGCTTTGCATAAATTAGCTGCATCTTGCTGGATTTCTGTAAATTGGGGTGAGGAGGGAGAGAGATGGTACAGGTCTTAAGAGCAGGGAAGGATGTTCAGAATCTGTACTCAGCCTCTGTGTCAGGATTGATTTGGAATAGATGGGGTTCCACAAGAAAGCTGTTGGAAATGGTGAGAACCATTTTTCCTGGAGAGGTGGAGCAGATGACAGATTCTTTTGGAAAAAGAGAGAAAAATGTACTGATGTGGGTATAGGAAGAACTCTGTATACAGTGAAGTTTATCATTTGAAGAGCAGCAGAATACAGCTGAAGACACATTTTGCTTCTGACATCTCTGTTTTCTTGGGTATCCCTTCTGATTGTTCTGGTTGAGCAGTTTGTGGGAATGGGTGGGATAACTGGCTTTCCTGCAGCAGACAAAAAATAAGCCAGCAAGGGAGAAGAGGTAAGTCTTGCTAAATGTTTCAGAGAGTTAGGGACAGAGATGAATTCCTGGTAGAGGATCTGGTTGGTACAGCTGATGCTATCAGGTAGATACGATGTGGAGTACTAATGAGTCTCTACATTAATCTCTGGTTTGGAGCCCATGAGAGTAGTTTGTTGAGTTTTCTGACCTACGTTAGCTCTGTCAGCTTGTTTTCGGCCTGCTTATCCATCCAACTGATGATTCCCTCAGTCTTCCTTGAACATACGTTGGAAGGGATTCTACCTGACTTCTTTTTGAATAGCAGTGTGTTTTGGCACCACACAAACTCTGCAGTGAATGTGTGAAGCATGCAACTATTGTCACTTTTCCTCAGTGCCCTCTTACTATTCATGGCAAGTATTCAATTTGACTACCCGTACTTTCCCTCTTGCTCCTCTGCTTTATTTAAAAAAGAGGGCAAAGGAGGCATCTGATGATACAATGTTCAGGCAAGGCTTTGAGACTCTAAGCAGTTAGGGCTTTAGTCTTGCTTCTTCTGTGATGGCCATGCCTCCCTCACTGTGAGATGTTGCTTTGACTCAGGCGCATGCTCTTCCTGATGGTTATTTTCCTCTGGGACCTGCAAGTACAGGCTTTGTATGACATCAGTTATATCTGCTTGTAGAATTCACGTGTCAGCTTTGACCCAGAGGACAAGACACTTCCAAAAAGGAGCTGAAAGAGTCTGCACTGGTCAGCTCCCAGGCTTCACGTCTGGTGATTACACAATGTAGAAGCATAATGCAAATTAACACTGTCATCTTGTCTCTGATGCCAAAGTCACTGGATCTTTTCTGCACAGAAGTTGTCAGCATTAACACCCTGTCACAGAAAGGCCCCACGTGGAATATAGCCACAAGGGAGAACGTGAGAGCCAAAGCTCCTTGTGCCAGGCTGAGAACAGGCAAGCAGGAGAAATTTGGGTCCTGGTGCTGGGACCCACTGCTGTCTGTTCCATGTGTTCTTTGTGTTCATACAGACAGGTACCACCACTGTGACACATCATATAAACGAAGAGGTGCAATAGCTACATCCAAAGCTGGGCTTTCAAACTGCAGTGAAGAATGGTCCCAATGGCTTTTCACCATCTAGGAACCAGCAAGCATCTGGAGTTTGAGAATTCAGTCTGTGACCAAACCCATATGGTTTCTGGGGAGATCTCTCATGCCCAGTGCTCCCTTGTTTCCCTATGTTAGATTTGTATGCTATCCGGCAAGATACTTGTAGCATGCTATGAGTTTTTGGGGTTTTTCTCTGAAAGATAAGTCCAGGCTTGATATTCATTCTGCAGTGCGATTCCAGCTTCCTTTGATCTTTTCTCAATTTCCCAAATTCTACTTTTGGATGACTTCCAAAAGTAGAAGGAGGATCTTGAAGGCCAAGGCAATTTTCATCAGATCTGTCAGTCAAATATGAGATCAAAATCAATGGCCAAAGAAATTTCAGTGGTACTGTCAGGTACTCTACCCAGGTCTGAAGCTCTCTTGTACTTAGTCTGGTTGCAAATTGTGCCCAAGAATGGCTCTAAACAAGTCCAAGTGATCTTGCCAAAGAGTAGAATGACTTATTGAAATGATTGATGCTTTTAGTTTTCAAGGTTACTGAGCCCAGTAGGTAGATGGGCTTCAATACTGTGAATTTGTGACTGCATAATGCATCAGTGTCCTTTTGATTTTTGTTGTTGTTGAGCTCCTTAAAAGATCCAACTTGCAATGACCTTTACTTGTCAAAATTTAATTTCATTGGTTAGTCTTCTGCTGTCGACTGAGTTCTGAAACAGTTCGTCTTGTACAGCTGATTATCATTCCTCATGTCTCCCACACAGATGGGACACAGCTTGCCAATAATTTGGAAAGGGTAGCTCTTGTTGATGTATTCTCATGGAATAGCGGAGAGTGATCTATACTGAGGCATTTTGCAGCACCTCGTATATCAACATGGATTCCACAGCTCACTTGTCCCTGTTTTGGGAATTCAAACTGTGAAGGTGCGAAGGGACAGTCAAGGCTGCTTCACCCTTCAGAGAAGTCAAAGAGCAAATGTACAGTCATAATGAGAGACTGCTATACAGCAGAATCCTTTTGATGATCCTGTTGATAAACCTTTGCTTGAGTTAATATAATATCTCAAAATCCACCACTGCATGAGGTAAGAACTTGCTTTTCCTGTGTAGCCCAAATACTTTTTATAGCCTGGCCCAGGCAAGACAGATCTGTTTTATCGCTTTCTCACAGATTTGCAGCCCCCAACTTCCTTAGCTTGGATGGCATTGAGATGTATAGCTCTATTTCCAGAGAAATATAGTGATTTCTGTATTAGGACAATTCCTTATGAAAAGAATAAAAAGAACTGAAGACCCTCCCTAGTGGGGAAGTGGGCAGTGCTGAGATGGCAGTTCTGCCCTAGTGTAAAGTGAGAGGCAGCAACCCCTGTTTGGGGAAGTGGGAGTTGGAGTCGATGGGGTAGGACTGAGAGCCAAGGACACATGAACACCTGGGCCATGTCGGAAGAACTGAATCCTGGTTTTGTGGGGTTGCAGACTGCAGCCTTTTATATCACCAGGTTGTAATGTGTTTGGATACTCAGGGCACATCCTTGGACCACCAGTGTTGACAGGCTTTGGTTCCCGTGCAGGCTTCTCGTACTATCTTGCCTAGTGCGCTTCTTGTCTGTATGTCTTGACCTCTTCTGAGACATCGTGCCAGTGTTGTCCTTCCCTTTCTCTTAAGCAGCATGGGCATCCCATTTGGGGAAACTGAGGCTGT